ACCAGCTTGCCCGAAGCACGATTCCAACACCAAACCCTGATCTGGTGCATTCATTGTATTGTCAATGTCCTTTTTTTTTCCGCGGGTTATCACCATAAAATGCACTCGATTGGTGGCCATTCAACCACTGGGTCCACCGCCAAAGCACCTCGAGATCACAACCGCCACCGTGCATGCAGCTCCCTGGAGACGAAGAAACCTGCCAGCACCGTCGCGTCCACCACAGCGCCGCCATGAAGCTAACGGGCCATTGCCCGCGAAGCTAGAACTGCCCGTGGCGACGGCATGGCCAGGCCGCGCTGGCCACGAGCGGGACGATTGAGCCGCGTCTCCCTTTAGCCTGGCTGCGCGCACGAGCACAGTTCGACGAAGTAGCGTCACGATCGAGAACGCGCTCAATGTGCATATGTGGTCACGCTCCCTCTCTGTTTCTCATTATTTCTGTCTCGTTTATCTCTCTCTCTCTCTCTATCTCTCTCTCTTCCTCTCTCGCTTTTGTTATCTCTCTCTCTCTCTCTCTCTCTTGCTCCCTCGTTCTCTCTTGCTCTCTCTCTCTCTCTCTCTCTCTCTCTCTATATATATATATATATATATATATCTCTTTCTCTCTGTGTATATGTAGTTTTATAGATATCTCGCTCGCTCCCTCTGTCCTTCTCTTCCTTTTTTCCCCGCTCCCTCTCTCTCTCTCTCTCTCTCTCTCGCTCTCTCTCTCTCTCTCTCACCAAGCTCTGCTAGAGCAACGGTATCTGAGTTCTCCCTCGATGGAGACGAGGATTGAAAACAAGAGGTGGGGAAGGAAAAGAGGAGATGGAAGGGATGTGAGGGGATGAAAAGGATGCGGGGAAGGGACGGGTGGGAAACGTGTAATGACGAGAAAATTATCCCAGTGCGACCCTACCTAGGAGTTGGAGCCCCTAGGAAAGCAGCATCAGTATTAACGGTAAAGCTAAGCTAAAGCTAAGCTAAAGCTAAGCCAAAGCTAAGCTACAGCTAAGCTAAAGCTAAGCTAAAGCTAAAGCTAAGCTAAAGCTAAGCTAAAGCTAAGCTAAAGCTAAGCTATAAAGCTAAGCTAAAGCTAAGATACCTCTAAGCTAAAACTAAACTAAAGATAAGCTAAAGCTAAGCTACAGCTCAGCTAAAGCTAAGCTACAGCTAAGTTAAAGCTAAGCTAAAGCTAAAGCTAAGCTACAGCTAAGCTAAAGCTAAGCTAATGTTAAAGCTAAAGCTAAAGCTAAAGTTAAAGTTAAAGCTAAAGCTAATGCTAAAGCTAAAGCTAAAGCTAAAGCTAAAGCTAAAGCTAATGCTAAAGCTAAAGCTAAAGCTAAAGCTAAGCTAAGGGGACGTAACTGGGGGAACCGCGGGGCGGATACTGGGGAAACCGCCCGGGGCGCTTTTCACTGCCCGGCCCCTTTAAGCCCAGAGAGAGAGTAAGAACCCTTCTAGGCAGAGCCTAGGTAGGGAATAAGAAAGGGAAGAGGTCGAGGAAAGGGGGGAGGAGGGAGACGAGGAGGAGCAGCAGCAGCAAGAGGAGGAGCAAGAGCAGAAAGACCGTGCGGAGGAGCACGAACACGGAAAGGGGAAAAGGAAACGGAAGGGATATGGGGAGGGAGAGAGGAGGCGGACAAGCTAGGCGCGCTCTTGCAACACTGCCGCGACGAAAGCTGGTGTTGTTCACTATGATTCTGGCAAATCCAACAATCCCTTCGAAGATCTCTCGCAGAATCATCTGGGCCCCCCGTAAGTACTAGCTCTGGCATCTCGAAACGGGCTCGGAAATTACTCCGCCCAATCTATCATGAGAAATGGGGTGAGGCGCGTATCCACGCGGAGTAACTTCTACTCCGTCAACTCCGCCGGTTCTCAATTAACATGCACGCAAAACGCATCACATGTTTGTCCTGGCGGCGAGGGGACATGCGTCCAATCTCGCTTCTCACGGGCCCATCCAGCCCCAGCTTCTGGTGATAACGGTGATGATGGTGACGATGATGGTGCGTCGTCATCGCGAGTGGATCCCTCACGGTATCTTAGGCACAGAGCGGCGAACATCGAGGCCTTGCTCATCCGGCGTGGCAGGCGAAGCTTTGTACATCCACCGCGGGGGCCGACAGTTGACTTGGCGCGATGAGGCCGTCGCAGCACAACCCTTGCCGCCATTGCCTGGACTGCCATTGCCTGAACTGCCTGGCCTTGCCGTTGCCTGATTGTCGCAAGATACACGTCGGAAGAGAACACAGCGGGCATGCACACTACCGCTGCGAAAGTGTATACGACCTGGTGGGATACTGGAATATCCGCTCCCTCTGTAGATTCCAAACATTCACAGGTGGATCCTGGTCTCTCTCTCTCTCTCTCGCGGAGTGATCCGTGTCCCACTTAAATGATAACTCTGGAATCCCAAGACGGGATTGGAAATTACTGCGCCCATTATGTCGTGACAAATGGGGCGGGACGCGTGTCCGCGCGTAAAAAATCCACTCCGCCTACTTCGCATACTCCGCCCTCGATCAATAATCTTGCACGCAGACTACAAAATTACATGTCACGGCGATCCTATATATAATATGCAAGACTGCATTGGCGCTTCGCGCCATGCGCCTTGTTCCGGACGCTTTAAGTCATCGCGTGTTTCAGCAGGGGGGGCGTCGAGACCACGAAAACGACCACGATCACGAGGACCACCACCACCACCAGCACCGCCACCACCACAACCACCACCACAACGACGACGACGACAACGACGACGCCGACGCCGACGACGACGACGACGACGACGACGACGACGACGACGACGATGGTGCTCTCGTCTGAACTGCAGATGGGGCGCTCGTCTCTCGAGGGCGTCTGGAAGCTCCGGCTGGGACCAGAAGCGCTCAGAAACTTGGCCCTTCCTCGTCGTCGTCGTCCTCCTCCTCCTCCTCCTCCTCCTCCTCCTCCTCCTCCTCCTGCTCCTCCTGCTCCTCCTCTCGGGCAGGCCGCGGGAGCGAGCGCTCGGGGCGTCAGTAAGCGGGCTACGCAATAATGAGGCGGCTGCCCGCGATGACAGGCCGAGACCTCCTGCTCCTCCGTAGGACGACGACGACGACGGCGGCGACGACGATTGGTTGCTTCCTGAATGCCTGGAGGGGTCCTGGACGCTTGTGGGGCTTCTGAGGTCCTTTCGAACCACCGTCCTACGCACTACGGCCTCGTGGAGTGTAAGAGAACTGCTGAAGCTATATTGGAACGGTGTGGGCTCGCGTTTGGGTTCCTGGTGACTCTCCGTACCAGAAGACTCCTTTTGGGGCTGTTTTGGGCCGTCTTGGAGCCCTCTTGGGCCGTCCCGGAACCTTCTTTTGGCCGTTTTGGGAGGCCGGGCCGGTCAGGGGCTTTTCGGGGGCCCTCTTGGGACACTCTTGGGGGCCTTCTGTGGCTCTCTTGGGGCTCTCTTGGGAATTCTCGGGGCCCTCTGTGGCCCCTCTTGGGCGGCCTTGGGCTTCTTTTGATCTGTCTTGCAGCTCTTTTGGGCCGCCTTGGGCCGCTCATAGAGGCCTCGGAGGCCGTCCTGGAGCGATCTTAAGTCTCTGGGGATGCTGTGGACGCTGTGAAAGCGGAAAAAGCTAATATCTTCAAAGGCGTACGTTTCCTCAGGGAATGAAACGATTTTTGGCTCTTGGGGGTCCTTCTTGGGGCCTCTTGGACCGTCTTGGGGGCCGCGTGGGCCGTCTTGAAACCATAGTGGGTCCTCTTTGAGCGCTGATGGGCCGTCTGGGGGCCCGTTTTGGGTCCGTGGGCTCCGATCGGCAGGGGCGTCCAACTGCCCGAAGGCCGCCAGGACTCCGAAAGGGCGTCCAGGGCGTTCGTTGGGTGGAGGGCAGGGGCGTCTGGGGTGTCTTTGGGGGGGTGGTCCGGTTTAGGGGGGGAGTTCCAGGTAATAAGAATATAACAATAGGAATCTATATAGATATAGATATATATATATATGTATATATATATATATATATGTGTGTGTATGTATGTGTATATATATATATACACACGTATATAGATGTATAAGTATATATGACATCCTACCCCTCCCACCCATCCCTTCCAATGTCGCTGAAAGATTATGCTATGCGCAGACGCGCGTCATGGCAGACCTGGAACTCCGAAAAGGACCCCGCCGTGTCATGCGCAATCTAAAAGGGGGAGCTGCGTATATTGGAGGAGGAGGTGGCAGATGAGCAGAAGGGTGAGCAGAGGAAAAATGGAAGAGGACGAGAAGGAGAAGGACGAGGTCGAACAGCAGCAGCACGAGCTAGAACAAAAGGTGCGGGAGGAGCAGGAGGACCAGGGGAAGGCGGAGGAGGGGAAAGAAGGGCGCGACAGCGATGAGGAAGGATTCGGATCCAGAGAACAGTGGCCCACGCTGGAGCAAGAGAGCCATTCTGACCAACGGGAGCAAAGCGCCGATCCTAAAATGAAACCAACGCTGCAACGTCAGCACCACTTGGAGACACCGGAAACGTTCTGAGTGAGGAGAACATAAGGCAGAATGTTGAAATCCTGTGTGAAGACAATACGCGGAGGGGGGCGGGCGACTCCCCCGGCCATGTTCGGGGGAGAGTTGAGAATAGCACTCACATAGAGTACTTGTAGAGGGGGGAGACAGGGCTTGTAGAGGAGGGATTGGCGAGGAGAGGGAGACAGGAAGGGAAGGAGAGGGAGAGACGGACGGGAAAAACATAAAAGGGGCAGCGCCACTGGACGTACCTTGCACTTGCGGGAGGACCTCCGTTCCTTCCATCCTGGCCTCCCTCTCCTCCCCCATCCCTCCCCTCCACGGTCCTCCCCTTCCCTCCCCTCGCCCACCCTCCCTTTACAACGTCCATCCACCGCCCCCCTCCCACGACACGCTTGCGAAGGTGACAGCACCGAGGGCGAACTAAACAAAGAAACTCTGGAGTTGTCGCACTCGGTGTCTTTTGTCACCCTCACCCCCCTCGATACGCCCTTCCTGCTCTCCATCCCTGGGCCTAAACAGGTGCCCGACCAGGGCGGTGTCGACGACAAGCATCTCCACCAGCCGCCACCGCGCGCCTGCGCGCTGCCCTGCCGCCTCCTGCTCCTCCTCGCCCAGGCCGTCCTGCCCCTGCGGCTGCGGCGGCGGCTGCTCCGCCTGCTTGGCTGCGGACTGCCGCGTGGCGCGGAACTCCCAAGGCTGCCAGGAAAAACCCTGTTGTTCGGGTGCCGTGGACGAAAGCCCCGAGGAGCCGTTTGCGCCACGCTTCGGGCCCCGTGACTCCGCGACCCAACCGGGCCGATCCCGCCGTAGAGCTGAGGTCGAAAATCCGGTCACGATGGTTCCAAGGTGTCGCAGCGAGCCTGTACTCTTCCCAAGATGGCCCCGAGACGGCCCCCACAAGCCCTGAGATAGCTCCACGATCGCCAAAACTGGCCCCGAGATGGCCCCAAGATGCCGCCGACATCGCGCAAGACGGCTCCAAAAGGCCGCAAGTTGGCCCGGGATGCACCAAGAGTCGCCGAGATGGCCCGCAGAGGCTTCTGGTATCCCGAATAACGCCTGGGATCCGCCACCATGCCGCAGTCCTCAGGCACTTTAGAGTCGCATTGAACGCTACCGTGACACGAGACCTCCAATTCACAAAACGGACTCGGGCTCTTGGGCCCTAAATGGTGTTTCCGGGGCCTGTCGCGCGACTGTTTTTGAAGCCAGAGACGCCGAGATGGCCCAGGAGGGCCCCGAGACGGTCAAGGAGGGCCCCGAAACAACCAAGAGAGCTCCGAGGTTCCGAGACGGCCCAAGATGATTTCAAGAAGGCCCAAGAGGCATCCGAAACGCCACATAAATGAACACATTCGCCTTGCCGGGCCTCAGAACGCCCAAGACGGCCCAAATAAGCTTCCAAAAACGGGCCAAGAGGCCTCAAGAAGGAGAACTCGAACTGACATTTGTAGCACTCTACCAAACATGACCCCCGAGACATCCAGCAGGTCCCGGAGGCCAGGCCCCCAAAAAGCCCCCCAGCGAGGCCTCCAAGAGTTCCACAACAGGCCCCCTGAGAAGCCCCACAGGCCCCCCACAGAGGCCTCCAAAAAGCCCCAAGAGGCATTTATTACAATGCCAAAGCACGGTGACGGGATCGGCCAAGGGCCGCTAGGTCCGCCGCCCCAGATAGCCTGCGGAGCGGCGTTGTGCGGGGGGGGCTATTTCTGGCCCTTACCCGATGGCCTTCGGCACAACCCGCCGGCCACGAGGAAAAGGTGGTCTCGACGGCTTTTCCGTCCAAGATGACTCCAACAGGGCCTTCTGGAAGGCCATTGTCAATATCAAATCAGCCGAATGTGTCCACGGTGGAATCAAGGCTCGAGATACCTCCACAAGGGCCCCAGATGATCCCAAGACGACCCAAGATGGCCAGAAGACGGCCCAAGGTCTCAAAGGCCCAAAAGATGTTTCGAGAAACACCGACGAGGTCCCCCAAGAGGGCCTCAAGAACCAACTTGATTGACCCCTGTCAGAACAATCGACACAGCCTAAATGGATCTCAAGGTCCCCGTCAAAACAGCCCAAATAGACCCGCAACAAAAACATCCGAAAGCGCCAAATGGCCGAAGCGCTTGAGATGGCCCAAGAGAGCCCTAAGATGGCCCGAGAGGGACCCGGGTCCCCAAGAAGGCCCAAAATATTCGAAATGAGCCGCCAAGAAACCCCATAGAGGCCCAGAGAAGGCCCCAGAAGCCACCAAGAGCAGGAAGCCCCCAAAAGGCCCAAAGAGAGCCTCAAGAGGCCTCATTTCGTCCTTTTCGTTTGATTATTCGCATTGGTACCGGGGCGTGCGTTAAAAACGACCGCGCGAAATTTAGCCGCCGAGCTATACATCCCCCCTTGCACTTTCCACGCTCACGCGGCGCCGATGACAGCGCGGACAGTCGTGGCCCTGCGTACTTATCGGGGAAGCATTCGGGCGTCGCGGTCCTGTGCATTTGGTCAACGTATCATCGCGCGCGCGGACGGCCGTTTATTTCGCACACACCGGTAGTAGTGTGATTAATATGATTGCTACTAGTATTAATATAGTGATCGCTGTTATTTTTATACATAAAAAAGTAGTAGTAGTAGTAGTAGTAGTAGTAGTAGTAGTAGTAGGAGTAGGAGTAGGAGTAGGAGTAGGAGTAGGAGTAGGAGTAGGAGTAGTAGTAGTAGTAGTAGTAGTAGTAGTAGTAGTAGTAGTAGTAGTAATAGTAGTAGGTGGTGGTATTAGTAGTAGTGATAGTAGTATTAGAAATAGTAGTAGTAGTCGTCGTCGTCGCCGACGTCGTAGCAGTATGAGTAGTAGTAGTAGTAGTAGTAGTAGTAGTAGTAGTAGTAGTAGTAGTAGTCGTACTAGTAGTAGTACTACTACTACTACTACTACTACTGCTGCTGCTGCTGCTGCTGCTACTGCTACTGCTACTACTACTACTACTACTACTACTACTACTACTACTACTACTACTACGACTACTACTACTACTACTACTACTACTACTACGACTACTACTACTACTACTACTACTACTAGTAGTCGTCGTAGTAGTAGTAGTCGTAGTAGTAATTCTAGTAGTAGTAGTAGTAGTAGTAGTAGAAGCAGTAGTGGTAGTAGTAGTGGTGGTAGTGGCACCTGTAGTTGTAGTAGTCGTCGTAATAATGACCATAGTAGTAGTACTACTAGTCGCAGTAGTAGTAAGAATACGACTTAGTGGTCATTGTATCAATATTACTAGTATTACTGCTAGTATCATTATTAGTATTATGGTTGGTAGTGTTACGCTTATTAATAGTAGTAGTAATGATAGTAGTAGTAGTAGTAGTAGTAGTAGTAGTAGTAGTAGTAGTAGTAGTAGTAGTAGTAGTAGTAGTAGTAGTAGTCGTAGTCGTAGTGGTAGCATTCCGAGTAAAAAAAATGTGTTGTAATCGTGGTAATCGTAGTAATAGTAGCAGTAGTAATAATGGAGTAGTAGTAGTAGTAGTAGTAGTAGTAGTAGTAGTAGTAGTAGTAGTAGTAATAGTAGTAATAGTATTGGTGGTACTAGTGGTACAAGTATGATTAGTGTTACTACTGCTACCGCGGATGGAAACAAATAACGCGAAATTGAGTCTTAACGTTGGAATTTCGCCATTCAGAATCGTAGGTTCCAAGCTGGGCACAGTCGGCGGCCGCCGCCGAAAATGCAAAAATAAACGCGAACCACAAGTGCAGGCTTTTGAATGCCATATCGTCGCGGCACGGACTGCATTCATCTGCTTTGAACGGCAGAATTCCAACGTTATGATTTGGTTTCGCGTCAATGTTTTGCAACCACGGCTGCCACCTCGTAATCAGGGGGCCTATGGCCTGTGGGATCGCCAGAGAGTGTCCTGGGGATATGTCTCATCAGCTGCAGCTTCAGTTGCGCCATCGAAGCGGCACCAGTTCGTACCCCTAGTTCGGGCCCGCCAAAAACCATTCACCACATGAATACCACTCGGGGCACTGCTTCCATGTGCCGTCCTAGCCTGCCTCAAGCGAAACGCCGATGAGATCGCCAGGAATGGCGCTCTGGGGGGTTGCGCTGTTTTATGTGCTCGCCTGGCTATGACGAAACGATCCAGGGATCGCCAGTAATGGCGTTCTGGAACGCTATTTAACGTTGTGACCTGCGTCGTTTTACTGATGAAGTCCTGTGCCAGAGCTCCAACAACTCATACATAACGTTGGAAAGTTGCAGCCATATCGCACTTCGTGGCTTTCATTATCGCTTCGTCATAGCCAGGTTAAGACCGAAAAAAACGTAACGTCCCAGATCACCACTCCTGGCGATCCCAAGATCGTTCTGTCAAAGCCAGGCTAACACAAAAACAACGTAAAGCTCTGGAGCGAGCGCCCTTCCTGGCGATCTCATCGGCGTTTCGCTTGAGCCAGACTAGGGCGGCAGATGAAAGCGAATCGGAACCCCAAGTCTTGTATAGAATTCAGAAGGGGCCCTCGAATCGGCCTTGGGTGGTGTTATCAATATGTTTTTTTCCTAGCCGTAATATTCTTAATACTATCAAGATTAATACTTTTAATGTTATTGAAATTAAGAATATGATTACTAGCAGTAGTCGTCGTAGTAATAGTGTTATTTGTCTTCTTGTTACTATTATTATTCCTCCTCCTCCTTCTCCTCCTCCTCCTCCTCCTGTTCCTCCTCCTCCTGCTCCTCCTCTTCCTCCTCCGCCCCCTGCTCCCTCCCCCTCCCCCTCCCCCTCCCCAACCTCTCCCTCCCCCTCCTCCTCCTCCTCCTCCTCCTCCTTGTCCTCCTCCTCTTCCTCCTCCTCCTCGTCCTCCTTCACCTCCATGTCCACCTCCTTTCTCTTCCTGTCCCCAGTAATCCCCAAAGGGGTTCCACAACGACTGGGAACACATGGTCTCATAGCTTGGCCAGACGCCGGCCAAACGGTTGGCCGCATGGACGTTTTTTTAAAGCAGGGGGCGGCGGTGATTCGCCGTACGCGTCTTCGACAATCCTGAACGTGCCTGCAAGAGGCCTCACATCCGCCAATGACGGCCTCAAGGGTCCACGAAGCCTCCTCCTCCTCCTCCTCCTCCTCCTCCTCCTCCGCCTTATCTTCCTCCTCCTCCTCCTACTCCTCCTACTCCTCCATTCCTTCTCCTTATCTATAACTCCTCCCCGTCACACCCCGAAGCCAGTTTTTAGGGCGGGCCAGGCGTTTCGCCTGAGACTTCCTCATTGTTTATGATTCTGAAGCTTAAAGAATGACAACAGTTTCACAAATGGGGGGCGGGTCGCTTTCAAAATGTGGCTCTCGCCTTAGCACCGCGCACACTCGCTTTAATAATTTGCAAGAGTTTCACGTATTGAGGGCGGGTCGTTTTCAATCTCCTTAGCGCCGCGCACATACGATTTAAAATTTGCAAGAGTTTCACGGATTGAAGGCGGGTCGTTCTCAAAATGTGGCTCGCGCCTTAGCGCCGCGCACATTCGTTTTAAGCATTTGCAGAAGCTTCACGAATTAAGGGCGGATGGTTTCGAAATGTGGCTCTCCCCTGAGCGCCGCACACATTCGTTTTCAACATTTGAAAGAGTTTCCCGGATTGAGGGCGGTTCCTTATCAAAATGTGGCTCTCGCCTTAGCGCCGCGCACATTCGTTTTGAGCAGTTGCAAGAGTCGCACGGATTCCCATGATCAACATACCGAAAATGGTGTTTTGGACGGATTCCAGATTATGCGGGCGCACCAAGTATGTTGATTCGCGGTGTTGAAATCACAACAACAGCGTTATGGCACGATTCCGGATCGCCAAAACGCAGCAGTCAGGTTAATACGTGACATTGAAAACCCGAGAACAATGTTTTGGCATGCTTCAGGATCTTCAATCGGTTGTCTTCCAACGAGGCTGTTCCCTCAATGGAAATGAACCCTTGTAGGGGCCTATAAAGAGGGAGCTTGGAGGGAGGGTTTATTCCAGCATCGTTGATCACACTTGGGTTTACACTGGTCCTCCTCCTCCTCCACCTCCTCCTCCTCCTCATCCTCATCCCTCTCTCTCTTTTTCATTCCACCCTCATTACGTGGTCTCGTCATCCCTCACACCCTATCCTCCGCCTTCGCCTCCTTCTGACATAACCCTACAATCCACGAACACGCTATAAGCATCCAGGAAAATGCGCTGCCTTAAACTAGTGTTTCCTGTTGTGTTCCTCTTCCTTGTCCTGACACTACTTTCATGCGTGGTCTCTCTTCAGTCCAACCTGACTTCCAACGCTTACTAGCAAGACCCGCAGTGCAAAGGATCATCAGCTTCGGAGCACGTGCCTCAACGTCCAGGCCGCTCAAGGTTGCCCCAATACTCCCGTGTGCCACCAAACAGATTCGAAGGCCCAGGAAAAGTCTAAACACGCCCAAGTGCGCCCAACGGGCCCAGAACGGCCTGAATGCGGCCACTCGTCGGTCCACGAGAGCATAAGTATCATCGTCTGTTCCGTGAAACCCCAGCCTGTCCAGACGTGGTGCCGCGAACTCGAACTGGTGTGGATATCAACATCAAGCGAGAGCCAGAGTTGAAGACCACCCGCGCTCCGTGCGCACAACTGTGGCAGATTCAGATTCATAACATGCCAGGGTATCCCCACAGAGAACCCGAACTTGAAAACCATCCGCCCTACATACGAGTAGTCATGCAATATATTGATATCTATGATAGTGATGACACACCTGAAAACAGCATGTACTGACCACACAAAAGACGTGCCATTCATCCGCGTAGTCAGGTTTGAAGCGTCGCGATTATTAGTAGCATGGAAATAAGATCCAGATGTTGAAAACCATCTCTACGGCTTTCGATCCATCAAGCTGTGCGGAAGTCTCTGGCGAATAATCCGATTAGGCTTCGCGAAAAGGGTTAGAACCCATTTCTCTGTGCAAGAAACTCGGTAGCCACAGCGTCCAGTCCCGCAAGATCCCCTGGCGGGTCCCTGGGGGGTCCCCAGGCTTGAGGGTCTCCGAATGATTCCAGGAGCTCCCCAGCGGTCCCCCAGTGTTCCTCGGGGTTCCCCATGTCGCTCGGGGCTGTCGGCCTTAGTGGTTTCTCTGCTTTGCTCTGATTGCTGAATATGATATGCACGAAACTGGATGCTGGATCGGCCTGCCTCTGAAGAGGCAAGTCCGACAAAAGACAAGGGTGAAATTGCAGAAAGAGGCTCAAGGAGCACACGCAAGGCGGCCCGAACTCCACAGTTGGAAGGCCCAAAACAGTGCAGTTACAGACTGTGCGGTGACCCCGAAATCCCGAACGACTTCACCGCACAGTCCGTCCCCGCACGGGTTTGGGACCTCGGAGGGCCCCAATCGCCCAAAACCGTGCGACCACCCGAGTCATCACTGGCCCAGCCGCCGGCGTGGTTTCACCGCACCGGTTTGGGGACCTCCGACCCACGCTGCCCCCGTGATGCCCCCCATGTAGAGCAACAAGAAGCGGCACTGGAGCCCCCTCCCTGGCGCGCGGAGGCGCCGCCAAGGGGCTCCAGGGCAGATCCAAGAACTCCGCTCGGGCCGTCGAAGGTTTATGTTGGGGCCCCCTTTTCTCCTTCGACCATGAGCTCTCTAGACAGGGGTATAGCCAAAGGTGGAAATCCGCGTTCCCCGTGCCCCTCTTTGCTGTGACCTCGTACCCCCGGCGCCCGGACGCCTGCTGGCGCTGCTGCCGCCGGGCCCGGCGGGGCATCTCCGGCGCGCTCCCGCAGCACTCGGTCAGCGCCGACAAGAACTCCAGCAGCACGCCCACGCCGCGCTCCTCTCCGGCCGCCTGGGGGGAACTCGCCCAAGATCAGGATCGCAGTTGAGCAAGCAAAAGCGATCGGAGCCCCACATCCCATCCTCATGATCCTCGTCCTCCTTCTTCTTGTTCTTTATCATTACTAGTATTCTTAATAATGGTATTAGTATTTATTCTCACTAGTATTATTATCATTGTTATTAGTATTAGTAGTATTATCAGTACTACTATTAATATTATAGTTATTGACATTAATATTACTATTAGTATTACTAGTATCATTAGTTTTACTGTTAGCATCATTATTATTATTATTATTATTATTATTATCATCATCATTAGTATTATTACTACTAGTATTAGTATTAGCCGTATTAGTTGTAGTATTAGTATTAGTATTGCTATGAAAAATATTTCAATTAGTAATAATAAGACTATTAGTAGTAGTAGTAGTAGTAGTAGTAGTAGTACCATTACTATTATTACTCGAATTAATATTGTTATTGTTACTCTTATCCGCATTGTTATTCATATTCGTCTTATTATTATTCTTGTCATTCGTATTATTGTTTGTATTATTGCCACTATTATTATTCTTAATGTTGTGAAGGTTCCTCTTCGTAGTACTATTAATATTATTCGTTTGATATTAGTTGTCGTCTTCATATTCTTCTTCATATGATTATTCATATTCTTATTCGAATTAGCATTATTGATATTATTACGCTTCTGCTTATTATTATCATTCCTAGTATTAGTAATATGGTTCTTATTATTAGTATGATTATTATGTGTCTTCGTTTCCTTGATACTTTTCTTATTTCTATTCTTATTATGTTTCTTATCCTCCTCCTCCTCCTCTACCTCCTCCTCAAGCTTCGACTCCTCCTCCTCCTCTCCCTCCTCCTCCTCCTCGTCCTCCTCCTCCTCGTCCTCCTCCTCATCTTCCTCCTCCTCCTCTTCTTCTTCTTGTTATTATTATGCTGCTTAGTATTAGTATACTTATTCATACTAATATTATTAGTATTACGACTACTACTACTACTACTACTACTACTACTACTACTACTACTACTACTACGATTGATATTAATATTATAATATTACTATTATTATTATGATTATTCCTCCTCCTCCTCCTCTTCCTCCTCCTCCTCCTCCTCCTCCTCCTCCTCCTCATCCTCCTCCTTTTCCTCCTCCTCCTCCTCCTTTTCCAAATGAAGAACTTCTCCCTGTCGGACCCCGAAGCCACTTTTTAGGGCGGGACGGGCGCTGCGCCTGAGAAGTCCTCACCACTTATGACTCTGAAGCTTTTTTAAAAAAAAAACAATAGCTTCGCAGATGGACGGCGGGTGGTTTTCAAACTGTGGCTCTCGCCTTAGCGCCGCGCGCATTCGTCCGAAAAGTTCGCACGAGCTTTACGGATTGAGGATAGCCCGTTTGCAAAATGTGGCTCTCGCCTGAGCGCCGCGAGCATTCGTTCTAAAAAATTGCACGAGCTTCACGGATGGAGGGCGGTTCTTTTTCAACATGTGGCTCTTGTCTTAGCGCCGCTCACATCCGTTTTAAAAATTCGCAAGAGCTTCACGGATTGAGGGCATCTCTTTTTCAAAGTGTGGTTCTCGTCTTAGCGCCGCGCACACTCGCTCATATAATTTGCTAGGGGGGTTCACGGATTCCCACGATCAACATACCAGAAATTGCATTTTGGAAGGGTTCATGAGTTTACGGTGCACCAGCTACGTTGGCTGACTGTGGTGAAAATCCCAAAAACAGCGTTCTGGCACGATCCATCATCGTCAAGACGCAACATTCAGGTTGATCCGTGACGTTGGAATCCCGAGAACACTGTGTTGGCATGCTTGCGGGTCTTCGAATGGTTGTCTTCCAACGAGGCAGATCCCTCAATGGAAATGAAACGTTGTAGGCGCCATTGGACAGGAAGCTTGAAGGGAGGGTACATTCCAACATCGTTGATCCTCCTCCGCCTCCTCCTCCTCCTCCTCCTCCTCCCTCCTCCTCCTCCTCCTCCCTCCTCCTCCTCCTGCTCCTCCTCCTCCTCCTCCTCCTCCTCTTCCTCCTCCTCTTCCTCCTCCTCCTACAGCCCCTTCCTCCTC